TCAATTTACTGTCAAGATAAAATCATGACATTTTCAGGCAGAGAAGGCCTGGGGGTTCATGGTGCTGCCACTGTGCATCTCTTCCCTGTCCTGTCCTAGAGTGAAGAGCAGTCTTCCCTAAGCCGAGATGCTACCCGCATGTTGTTGCCTGTCCCGGCAGGCACCCTGCAAAAGTGGGTGGAGTACCTGGTGCCCACTGTCATGCGTGGCAACGACTCTTACGTCCACACGTTTCTGCTGGCCTACAGAAACTTTGCCACTCCCCAGCAGGCGCTGGATCTGCTTTTCATCAGGTGAGCACTCTGTCACTCGATCATAGTGTCACTCGGCCGCCTCCCAGCTGTGAGTCTTGGGACTGTCACCACACCCCTCTGAGCCTCAGTTTCCACCTGTGGTCAGTGGGCGATAACAGGAACAAACTTCAGTGGGTCCCCCATGGAAAGTGCTGCTCCTGAGTTCAGCCCTGTGGAAAGATCTGCTGGAGGGGCCATGGTTGGCCTCATTCAGTATTCCTGCCCCCCCCCATGAGGAAGTCTCTGTCACACCCTCCCTGACCTTGTTGACTTGGGCTTCACAGTTTTCACATTTGAGATTCTATCTGTAGGCTTCTGGGTGTATTCAAAGCAGGGAGAGTGGGAGCTGGCAGAGGGGCTTCAGGTGCACCCAGATATCTTGGGAGGAGTCGGTTGGGGTTCATTCCTTCAACAAACATATTTGAAGTCACACTATGTGCAGTGACATTCTGGGCACTGACCATATTCCAATGAACTGAGGAGACTACATTCCCTGCCCTCCTGGGTTTCCATTCTAGTCAGAGGTCAGACAACCACAATATACATGAGGAGCAGGTGCTGCCACCATATGGTAGATGTGACACCATCCTGCTCTCCTCTAGGTACAGAAGAATCGTTTCGGATTTTCATGGGGATGGCGGATCCCTGGAGCAGCTAAAATGGTAAGTGGGGTTTGGGTGCAGATTGAGGGGCTCCCATCTCCACAGAACTGTGTGTGGTGTGTGGGGGCCTGTGGATGGGGGAGCTGGCAGATCTCTGGCTCCCACATATCTTATGATTCCGGCTACAGGGCTGAGGGCTCAGGATTTCCCTGCAGGGAAACTGAAGGCTGCCCCCACGGAGGCTTTTGCCAGCCCCTCCTTGGTTGCCAGGCCCATTTCAGCCAGGGCTGCCATACTGGGGGTGGACATTGGAGGGGCTGGTCTATGGACTGGCAGGGGCAGAGGATACAAGACTGCAGCTCACTCAGGGGAGCCCTGGGAGGGCGGCATAGAGGGATAGGCTATGCCTCTGATGCTGCTGCCCACCTGTCTCCCCCAGTGCCATGTCCTCCATCCTAATGATCTGGCTGGAATTCCATTCCATTGATTTCAACGAGCCTCCTGGATTTCCTTGTTTGAAGTCTCTCCTGGCCTATGTAAACGCCAATCTGCCAGGTTCAGAGGTGGAGCGCAAGGCTGATCTTATTCTGGCCCAGCTGGAGAAGCTGGAGCACCTGGAGCCCAGTGAGGCGGAGATTGAGGGTGAGG